AATAGGAAAAAGAAATAGAAAAACAATAAAATAAAATAAAGTAAAACAGAAAACAGAAAATAAAAGAAAAGGAAAAGTATTAAAAATTGACACACCAGAGAGTTGGAGGGTGGAACTGCGATTGCTGAGGTGCACTGACAAAAATGTGGAGAAGTAAAACACTAATGGACACTTCGGGGATTCGAAAGCAGGACTTGGTAGCTGGGAACTTGCGAATACGCGCTAGCTAACACGTACAAGCCCCATATGTGTCAAATCCTGGCAGCAATTACAATATAAGCTGGGACAGCAGCTGCATTTTTCATTTGAAAAACCCGAGCTATTCTCGAACACGCTTTGGATTCCCTTAAACTAGCCTCGATCATAGAGCCAAACGGCTCTCTTCTGTCCAGTCCCATCCCCTTGTCAGATGGAAAGGGATAATGATGTGATTTGCAAACCCCAAAGCCTCTCATTCTCTCTAGAAAAATGAGAGACATCTCTCATTGCTTTCATTTCAAACCCATCCATCTTTGCTCTATCTCTCTCTCTTCTGCATGACTCTCAAAACTGTAAGAGTCGTCTGTCTCTTTAGAAATTCAGCCCTCCCTCTCTGTTTCACTCAGACCCCATATCTTTTTAAAATGAAAAATAGCCATCCTTCCCCCACATTTTTCTCTCATTTCCGCAGCTGCTCCTTCATCCTCGCTAAGCGTTGCATCCGTGCTGCAACCAATAAATAGCCCAGCTATCTACACACCGCCGTGTCTCGGAAATCCAGCACCTCGAGCAGCAAGACCAACAACCTACTCAGATGAAACCACATATCGCATCCTGCTCTAGTCTGACACACTCACAGGTAGTTTTTATCTCCATCTCCCTTCGATTTTTGTCTCAAGTGCTTAGATTAGGGAAAAATGAATGAAAATTGCCCAATGCATGTGTGTTTCCATGGAAAAATCGAGACTCACAGATCCTCATTGAAAAGGTATGCTTTTATATCCTTGCAACTATGTTTGATAAGAATCTATGAATAAAAATTTGTATATGGTCTCAGTGCCTCAGTATGTTGAATTGGCTTGTTCGTCATGCATGAAGAGATCTATAAATTCATCATGTCTTATTCTCTGTGCCACTTAGATCCCTTAACTTTGTTTCTGCACTCCGCACTGCCTAATCTCATGAATGTAGAGGAATTGATGATGAATGTGCTGGGGGAATAAATGTTGATTGCACCCCCTTAGTTGGGATTAGGCCGAATCAGTTCTGAATGCAACCTGCAATAAAAACCCTAATTAGATAAGTAAAGAAAAATAACAAGAATTAAAAACTGCAATTTTTTTTTCAATTTTCTGATTTTTTTGTGATTTTTGTAATTAGGAATAAAAACAGGAAAATAAAATAAACGAAATAAAAAGAAAAGAGTTAGAAAAATTGGGTTGCCTCCCAATTAGCGCTTTAGTTAACGTCTATAGCTAGACGTAGAGGGAAGAATTGAAGATCACGTCACTTGTTCCCTTCAAGTTAACCACTTCTTGATAGCATCATACGGCAACAGTAGGTATGGAATGAGTTGTTGTTTATCAGTGGTTGAATTCTTCATAAGTGCACTTCTATGTGAATGAATCTTTGTGATCAAATAAGGTTGTTTCCAGTGAGGTTTATGTTTCCATCGAGCTACCTTGAACCTTGTATTTAACACCCACAACCTCTGCACTGGCAAAATTTCTCTACGAGGAATTTGGTTGTCATGGAATTGATCCTTATTTTCTTTAAATTTGATGAATTGCGACGTTTGCATGTCCAATTCAGCAACCAAAATTTTTTGATCAGTAGCCTGTTGCTCCAAATCCAAAATGGTCAGAGTAGTCAAAAGTTGATCATGTGATGTCTGATGTACTGATTTTGAATGAACAGCTTCTAACATATCAATTCTTGTGCATTCGTGCAGCCCTGTTGGGAAGGGTTCTGGTGGCACATAAACTTGGGGAGGAAAAGATTATGGGGAAATTGTTTCACGATCAGCAGGTGGTGTTTCCTCCCTTGGGCATGACTAGGTGGAAAATTGCTCTTCAATTCCTGCACCAATCTTTTCTTAATCATTAAAGCTCTTCCCATAATTTAATGCTTGAATCAAAAATCCGTCATTGGTTATTTCAATGTATAAGTCAGTTAATTCCAACAATTTAGAGAGCTTGTCCTCCACTGAAAGCTCTTGTGGCACATTAAGCTGCTCAAAATACTGCCCAAGATGCTCTTTCAAACTTTGAGTGTAGAACTCTGAATGGGGATTGTTCCAGTTCCATTTTGAATCGTTTCTCATATTTATATACTCCTGGACATAATCTGGAAAATATTCTCTCTCAGGACATTGCAAAATATCATGAGTATTTGAATTACAAATAGCACAAACTGTAGGCTTAAATCCATAATAACCCTTTTCTGCTAATGACACCCAAAGAGGTGGTCCACCGGGTGTTAGATTGAATTCAGGGGGAACTGCAAATTCCATTGTTGCACTGCTAAAAAAGAAACAAATTGTAACCTACCAAACAAAATCAGCAATTAAATAAAAAGATATATACAAAAATAATTAACTAAGAGTTGTTGTAATCTGAGAAAAATAAAACAAAAACGAAAATTAAATTTTTTTTTTCTTATATGTATATACAACAATAACTAATTGAAAATCTGATTAGTAGGAATTATTTTAAATAATCCCCGGCAACGGCGCCATTTTCTTGATAGGATTTTTACTACTCATGTGAACGGGCTTAAATCTCCTATTTTACTTGCAAGAATCACAAGGTTATTGTAGTATAAACGAATCTCGCAAAGTCGTCTCCACAGGGATTATTAAATAATTCGAAACAAATCAAATTTCAATTAATTATTGTAAAGTAGAAGTTTAGGTGATTGATTTTATAACCTAATTAAAATAAAAACGAAATTAATGAATTAAAATAAACAATCTGCAATATTAGAGCTCGTGAGAAAATAAAACAGTTTTGGGAGAATCAAATTAAGAAAGCACTAGGGTTCCACCATCACCTAGCAATCCTATGAATTTTTACCAATTACTTATGATCTACACATGCCACTTTGAAGGTTAGCTTTTCCTAATTCATATTCTACTTGGAACCTCCAACATAGAACGTATATCTAACATGCAACCCGTACGGACGTTCGGTTCAAATCTGAACATGAAAGACTCATTATGCTTTATGAAAATCCTTTGAAAAACCATGCAATCCTTAAGACGTGATATTCATCCTAAGTGAAATTACAATTATTAATCACAAGAAGCCAGCGTCAATTTCAGGGAACCTTCCGACCAAAATTGCATCAAATTACTTTTCTAAAGATCCTAATGGTGATCAGGCATTAAGACAATTAGATAGTTTTTATCCCGGTGATTAACAATTCAAAGTATACATGCAATCAATCATAAGCAATTAAATAAAAATCACATATTCATGCTAAGGCTCAAGGCTTCGCCCTAGCAAAAGAGAATTAGTTACGCATATTCATAATTGAAATCATAGAAAATATTACTAAGAAAAGGATTGAAAGCACCTCCAAGTAAAAAGTCTCCAAAACCCTAACAATTCTCTCTGTCTCCAAAATTGCATAAAATAAAGTGTCGAGAAAAACTGTAGACGGCCAAGCAATATCTGCTAAGCCTCCCCACAAAACCCTAAAAAAACAGGTCCTTTATTTCGCTCAGGAAACTAAAATTAATAATCAAATAAAATAAGAAACATAACCCTAAATTAAATGGTAAAATTCGCCTAAAATCTGAACAGCCAAGTTTTTGACCCATAAGCTGCTCCAAAACTGGCCCAATAAAGATGGATTTAATGTTTGGAATATTCTGAACACTTCTCCAGAAGGCCACGAACCCATCCGAGGTCATCTTGGGCTACAAAAACGTAATTTGAGCCCAAAAACGTCATTTTCCAACACTGCGCATCGCTCCTTTATTTTATCGCCAGAAAATAACCACTTGGTGGAAAAATCTCAAATTTTGATATGATCAAGCTAAGTGACTCACGAACGTCCTCCAACTAGAATTACTCCAAAATTCATCCATTTGGTTCTGTTTTGCTCCAGAGGAAGTCGAAAGTCCTATATTGAAAATACAATTCAAAGTATCAAAATTCTTCCAAAATATTAACCAAAATATACTAAGATTAAGGTAAAATATATAATATAAAATCTACTCATCAAGTGTGTATGTTATGTCTGGAAGAAAAAAGAAAATGGAAGTTGCAAGAAGCAAAAATCATAGAGATGAGTGCAAAACTAAATTCATTGATTCACGACTCTCTCTCTACAAGTGCAAGTGGAATATGACTGTTACAACCAGAAAGGAATAAAGCCTCTCTCTCTTCTAACAGAAAGGAATGATCACAGCCATCCATGTCATCTATCCTATGAAATAGTTACATGTGTCACACACTCTCACTTACTCTAATTTAATCTAGAGCATCCATTTGGAATATGATCCAAGGGCTCTGATCAAAACAAGTAAAATGAATAAGCATATTTCTGCTAAAAATACTTAAACACTAACACTCCATTCTAAGTGTTTAGCAGAAATCATCCCCAAAGCTTTCCTCAACCACTCCATTCGATCTCTTGCCAAGGCCTTTGTGAATATATCAGCTATTTGCTCTTCAGTTTTGCAATAAACTAGATCAACTTCACCATTCTGCAATGCATATTTGATGAAATGAAACCTTCTGTTGATATGCCTTGTCTTGTGATGTGCCACTAGATTCTTTGAAATTGCAATGGCAGAGGTGTTATCACGTAGAATCTGAGTTGGCTCCACTTGTTCCTCACCAAAATCTAAGAGAACAAACCTTAACCAGATGGCATGGGCAGTTGCTTCTATAACACTAACATACTCAACCTTTGCAGTGGACAGTGCTACACTACTTTGTTTGATTGAGGCCTAAGAAAATGCTCCAAAACCAAAACTGAAAGCATAACCCGAGGTGCTCTTCATGTCATATTCACTTCCTCCAGTCACTATCATAATAGCCAATAAGCACATCATCTTTGCCTTTCTCATATGCAATTCCATAGTCCAGTGTTCCTTGTATATATCTCAACACCCTCTTTGTGGTTCCCATGTGCTTTCTGGTTGGATTGTGCATGAATTGAGCTAGGAAACTTGCAGCAAACATTATATCAGGTCTTGTAGCTATTAAGTATAACAGACTACCAACCATCTTCCTATAAAGACTTTCATCAGCCATCTCACTTGCATCAACTTTGCTTAACTTTTCATCTGCTACAAGTGGAATTGCAACATACTTGCAATCCTTCAATCCAAACTTCTCCAGCAAGGTTCTTGCATATTTCTTTTGATTCAGAAAGATGCAGTCTTCTGTTTGAATTACTCCAAGCCCTAAGAAGTGATGCAACAGACCTAAATCCGACATCTCATACTTTCTCATCATTTATGCCTTAAATTTATCCATCAATGCACTAGAACTCCCTGTGTATATAATGTCATCAACATACAAGGAAACAATGAGAATTCCTACCTCAGTTGTTTTGATGTAAAGGGTTACCTCACTTAGACTTTTATGAAAGCCAGCATTATAGAAATAAGAGTCAATTTCTTTATACCAGCCCTTTGGTGCCTGTTTTAAACCATATAAGGCCTTCTTGAACTTGTAAACCTTGTCCTCTTTACCTACAATTACAAATCCATGTGGCTGATCTACATACACTTCTTCATTTAGAACCCCATTCAAGAGTTCAAATTTCACATTGAGTTAGAACAACTTCCATCATTTCGTGTAGCTAGTCTAATTAGAGTTCTAATGGTGTCAAGCCTTGCCATATGGGCAAATGTCTCATTGAAATCAACCCCAAGCTTTTGAGAGTACCCCTTTGCAACTAATCTTGCCTTATTCTTCTGTATAGACCCATCCATGTTCAATTTTGTTTTGTAGATCCACTTGACACCAACTATTGGTTTATTAAATGGTCTGTCAACAAGTTCCCAAATGCAGTTCTTCTCTATTATAGCAATTTCTGCTTCCATTGCTTTCTACCATGACTCATCTTTGGCTGCTTCTTCAAAGCTCTTAAGCTCAACTATGCATAAATTACACTTTGCATACACTTCTGTCAAGCTCTGAACTTCAATGAGGTATGCTCATAGTCTTAGGGACCTGTGTTATTCTGCATTGGGACAAATCTTGAACCATTTTCAATTGATTCACAAGTTTCAGATGCAGGTATCAGAGACTCATCATTTACATTACATCTATCACTTGAGCTTCCTTCTTCCCTTTGTTTACAGGTTTCCACACCAGTTATTGGTACACTAATACTCTTCTCAGATTGACACTTCCAATCCCAACAAGCATTTTCATCAAATATCACATTTCTTGGCACAATCATCTTTTTTGAATCAAGGTCATAAAGTCTATAACCTTTCTCACATGTGCCATACCCCAAGAAAATACATTTAACACTGGTTTCATCTAGCTTCTGTCTGAGATGACTTGGAATATGAGCATAACATATAGAACAAAAAACCCTTAAGTGCTTGATTCTTAGCTTTCTTCCACTATAAGCCTCAAAATGAGCCTTTTTGTCAAAAGATTTAGTGGGACACTTATTAAAGATATACATTGCTGTGTTGACAGCTTCAGCCCAAAACTCAAATGGAACAGCCTTTTCAATCAGCATGCATTTTTCCATTTCTACTATGGTTCTGTTCTTCCTCTCAGCTATACCATTTTGATGCGGTGTATAAGTAACTATAAGTTGCCTTTCCATGCCATCTCTTCACAAAAGTCACTGAATTCAAAAAATGTGTACTACCTTCCTCTATTACTTCTCAACTTTTTTAATTGTTATCCACTTTGTAGCTCAATTATGGGCTTAAACTTCTTGAGTATACCAAACACTTCAGACTTGTATCTCAAGAAATAGACCCAACACATCCTAGTGCAAAAATATATAAGGGTAAGAAAGTACCTATTACTAGCCTTTGTAGGAGTTTGCATAGGTCCACAGATGTCTGAGTGAACAAGTTCTAGAGGGAGAGATGCCCTCCATGATGGTTTTTTTGGAAATGCATCCCTGCAATGCTTCCCAAAAGTACATCCTTCACATATCTCATATGTCACTTTGAGTTCAGGCAATCCAGCATCATATCTTGTTCTTTGAGTTGCCTCAGACTGCCCATATTCAAGTGTCCTAACCTCCTATGCCAAATCATGGATGACTGACACACACTATCTTTTAGAGCAATTTGCATCTTAAGTTGAAGTTTCAAGGGAAAACTCTTATTTCCTTTCATTGGTATCTTGGCTAACAAGTTTGACAGAGAGCAATCATCGTATATCTCAGCATTTGTACCACCAAACACCAGAAAATAGCCATGTTCCATCATTTGCCCTACACTGAGCAAGTTTTCTTTCAATCCTGGAACTAACATTACCTCCTTGATATATCTCCTCCCCATATTGGTTTCAATTACCACGTTTCCCTTGCATGTGACATCAATAAGCTGATATGTGCCCATTTCAACTTTAGCAGTCATTATTCTGTTAATGTCAACTAACAGATCCCCCATTCCAGTCATGTGGTTGCTGCATCCACTATCTACATATCATATGTCTTCACATTTCTTCACAATGGCATTGTTGCAAGCATAGAACATTGTAGGGGTGTCATTGACTTGGTTAACAAAGCTTACATGTTGGTTAGCCTTTTCCTTCTTGCCACGACAATCTTTTGCCATATGCCCCAACTTATTGCAATTATGACATCTAGGCTTATCTTTGAACCAACATTCACCAAAGTGCAACTTATCAAAGTGTATACATGAATTCTTAGCTACCTCATATGTGTTTGCATCTTTTCCAGCTTGATTTGCACGTCTATTATATCCTTTCTTTCATTTTGACTTCCAATTTTTCCGTGGCTTGAACCCTTGATTCCCATTATACTTATATTGTTTTGGATCAACATGAAGGCTGGCAAATGCCTTCTCAATTTGGATTTCAGCATGTCTATCAATCCTTTGTTCATACCCCTTTAGGATAGCCACAACATCTTGAGCATCAATAGTCTCTAGATCTTTAGTATTTTCAATCATAGAAGCTATACTATCATAAGATCTACGTAAACTTATCAGCAATTTTTGAACAATTCTTTGATTACTAATATCTTCACCATATCTCCTCATTTGACTAATCAAATCAAACAGTCTCACTAGATATGCAGAGAGGGCTTCATTCTTACCCATTCTAGTATACTCAAAATCACAGCGTAAGCCTTGGAGTTTCACAGCTCTTACATGTTTATCTCCCACAAATTCTCGCTTCAAGACATTCCAAGCAGCATTTGCAGTCTCTTGGATGGCAATTCTCGGGATGATTTGATCAAAAATCGACCATTGGATGATTCTAAGTGCCTTTGCATCTTTGACGATGTTCTCCTTCAATAGCTTCCCCTCCGTTTCAGTGAGTTCTTCCTCATTCTTCATCGGGGTAGCGAAGCCCTTCTCTACTAGATCCCAAAGTTCGTGAAATCAGAATATCGTCTTCATTATAATCTACCAGAAATCAAAGTTGTCTCCATTGAACACTGGTGCTCGAAGCTCAGCACCACTTAATCCAACCATATGAGACTCGATTCAAGGTCACTAAGATTTCTTCTCTGAATATCCTTAAACAACAAAGCTCGACGATCAGTTCGAGTTCTTCACTGCTGGAGTCACAGATTCATGCCCAGTTACAGATGACACAACCTAGCTCTGAGGCCATGTTAGGTTATGTGATTTTGTGTTGTAATTCAATGGAGTGTGTATGTTATTTCTGGAAGAAAGAAGAAAATGGAAGTTGCAGGAAGCGAAAATCATAGAGATGAGTGTAAAACTGAATTCATTAATTTACGGCTCTCTCTCTATAAGTACAAGTGGAATATAATCATTACAACCAGAATGGAATAAAGCCTCTATCTCTTATAATAGAAACGAAAGATCACAGTCATCCATGTCATTTATCCTATGAGATAGTTACATGTGTCACACACTCTCACTTACTCTAACATAATCTAGAGCATCCATTTGGAATATGATCCAACGGCTATGATTAAAACAAGTAAAATGAATAAGCCTATTTCTGCTAAAAACGCTTAAACATTAACAGGCTCTACATATACCCCAAAGCTGAGGTGGGACTAAGAAAGGTGTCTGCACTACAAGGGATTATGATACCACCCATTCAATGATCGTTTCCAAATTCATCTTTAGCTAAGCTTAACAAATCTTGGAGTGAAGGTTGGTTCAAGTAGGACACCGGAATAATAAACTGCTTCTTGTGGCTCTCCCCAACGTAGATGGTAAGATAGCCTTATGGAACATCCAATGACTTTGAAGAAACTTGATTTTTCTTGGCATGTACAATACCATGAAATCGGAAACCCATGGTTTACAATTCCTGTAAAAAGGAACAATAAAGAGTTCAAATGAATTTCAGGACAGAAAGTGCTTTGATAAGATATGCTTGGGAGTAGAAGACTTGTGTTAGTTTGCTCCTGAACCTTGGATGTGTGCATACATAGCTAAAGCGGTATCTGCAAGTGGTCGGTTACCTAAAATGATTGGTGATGAAGCACTGGAATAGACCCAAGTGAGAGAGAGTTTGCTCATGGAAAATCACATGGACTTGTCTACAAGCTATCAATAACACCTCACGTCGATGACCAAACAAAAGCAACCCAATGTCCTATCTCTCTTAAATGAAGGCCTATAAAAAAAAATCAGAGACATGCTTGAGACAAGAATTTTTCTCGTGGTGCTATTTCAACAGTTTTAGCATATAAAATGTGAGGGCTTAATCTGTTTTGGTTACAATACGTACGAAAAATTGATACGTTGGTCTACAAATAATTTGTACAAGTTGGAGGGAGTGGCCTGGAGGCAATTGAATGCGGATTGTCAAGTGACCCTGCTACTCAAGCACTAATATGTTCACATGGCTATGACTTCCAATTTTTCAAGGATATGGGTTATGCACAAAAATACAAGGGAGTTCTAATGAAAAGGGCCTGGAACTATTCATTCTTAATCAAAATGACATTTTATGTATGAAAAGTCCATAATGGATCATGTTCTTTTCTTAATTTACTCTTATGCCATTACAGCAGGGTCCACAATGATGTTGACATTTCTGTCTGGGAATACATTATTTTACATTATGCTATTAAACTTATGCTAATTTACAGCTAGCTCTTCAGGCTTCCATCATGTTGTCATGTTATGCAGCTCTTCTTCTGTCAAATTATTCCAGTACTGTTCATCGCCTTCTACTATCTCCGTTTCTCTTTCTCTATCTTCTTTCACCTTATAGTATATTTCTGCTGTTTCTTCTTTGAAATTTTGGGGCTTCCAATAAGGCTGATGACTGATCAT